AGAGGAAGGATTATTTAATTCTATTTAGTGTGCCACTACTTTGGTTGAGCAGATCTCTAGGCTCTAGGCTACTCACCCTAGTCTTTGTACTGCTCCTTGTGTTAATCCCAAGGATTCAGGGAGAAAGATCACTGACTCAAATCATCATGGACAGCTTTTTTATTCATGTATATGGCCTCCCTCCCCTTATTGTAGGGTTCAAGAAGTCAGCATTGGATGTGGGAAAGACAAGGTTTTTATAGCTCAGTGGTAAGGGTGTTTCCAAATGGAAGATATGGGAGGCAAATAGGCAGGGTTCCAGAATCAGAACATAAACAGAACAAGTTAGCCATAACTACTTTCTGAAACAAAGACATGATTGTAAGGTGCTCATAAAGTAGTTGTAACAACAGGTGGTCATAACAACAGGTAGGCATAATAACCTTCTGAAAGGAAGGTATGGTTTCCTGGAACAGGCAGTGTAGAACCATTTGTAGTTAAGGTTACAGGTAGGGCATGGCGCTATTCTTGAGAAATAGATTTAATCATAAACAGGAATGAACCTAGTTTGTCTTTGCTATAAGACGGCTGTCAATCCTGAGAGAGCAGCAGGCTGCTTCTGCTACAGGCTTCTTGGAGAGTTTTGGAAGACCCTCGTAGTCTGCACTGGCCTGGGTTTATTTGAGAATGAGAGGCTGTGAAAAAATCCTTTTCTTTGTCTGGTAAGAACTGAGGCTTAGGTGGAGATGGGATGACTTTCAATTAGTTTCCTCATAATACTTTCACCATTATAAACTCTTAATAGTTTTTAAAGAATCACATTTCTTTGTTTTACATGTGTACCCACTTATGAATTCATGTACATACCACAGCATGTGTGTGGACATCAGAGGACAACTTGTGAAAGTTGATTTTCCTTCCACAGTGCGGAGCCTGGGAATTAAATTCAGGTCCTCAGGTTTGGTAGTGATGCAATTTATTGAACTAGCTCACAAGTGTGAGCCTTGTAACTCAGTGGGCATGTGTATGTGTGTGTGTGTGTGTGTGTGTGTGTGTGTGTGTGTGTGTTTGAGTCAGAGTCTCACTATGTAGTCCTGGAATATCTGGAGCTCGCCATTTAGACGAGGCTGCCCTTAAACTCATAAAGACTCACCTGTTACTGCCTCTCTAGTGCTAGGACTAAAGGAATGCACACTTTCTTGGCTCAGTGGTCTTTAGCTGACCTCAAATGTTGGTGTTCTTCATAGATCCCCTTCTTGTTATTCTGCCTACTCCCCAGTGAGCTCTTTCTTGTATGAACTCAACTACTTGTCTGTCTACATAGAAGCATTATCTTTTCTTGCACAGGAATCACATCATTTGTGTGCAGATGACCCTAATGAACTGTAGATCTTTCACAAGATGTGCTCTGTAGGGTGTTCTCAGCTTATTCTTATGTCTCAAGGAATTCCTTTTCCCAAAGACTGCATTTAGACAAGAGCCAGCATTTCCACAGGGACTTAAGCTAGTTTATACTTGCTGGAAAAAAAAATCATTTTCCTTATCTCTGGCAAAAGGAACATATGGTTTCTCTATTAACCTATGCCTGGGGTGCCTATTTAACATATCAAAGTAGACATTGGCTGTCACAATAGCAGTTTACAAAGTCCTGGCTCTGCTGCTGCCCCTTGTCCTGAAATCTCCAGCACCAGAGCTTCATGCCCCTTCCCCCAGCTTCTTGGATCCCCATATAACCTTATCCATTTTGACTATGTGTCCTGCATCCTCTTGCGCTCTTGGCCTCTTGGTCCTCTTGGTTCTTGGCTGGCTCTGCTCCAGGGTCTCCCCTGCTCTCCTCTCTGCCCCTGGCTCCCCTTCTCTTTGCCCTCCTGCCCTCCACCCACCTCCTCACATGGCCAGGTTGGTCTGCTGGCGATGTTTAGTCTGGACTCCTCATTATGCCTCTGGTTGTGCTCTACCTCTTATCCAAAACAAAGTTTCTCTTCAACCCAAACTTAGGGGCAGTCATATCCTTATTTTTTCCATTCAGTTCCCAGACTCTACCTGCTCTTTATTATTGCTTTTCCAGGGGCCAGCCTCCAGCAGGACAGGGCTCAGGGATCCATGGAGTCCATTAAGATTTTTTTTTGTTGTTGTTTTAATCTAAGGGGTTAAGGGAAAACACACACTCTTTTGATGGTTTTCTTCAAACTTTTTCTTTATTCTTCTTCTGTATTCTCTATTCTCTGTAGCTTGTATACCCCCAACAAAATCTTTCAGGCAATATGGAAATTATAATGTAGTTATATTCTATCTTTCAAGTGAATTGTTATAATGAATACAGCTGAAAATGTGTTTGTGATCTCCTTTACATTAACAAAGTAATCCCAAGAACCCACCTACATTTACATCTAAGTAATTTATGATAGATTAGCTGTTGTGAGCAAACAAGGTATTCTTTTCAGCCAGTTCTTTTGCTGGCAGACTGCATATTGTGGCTACAAAGAAAGGACCGATTGTTTTATTATTATTTTATCTCAAAAGGTAATTTCATAAAAAAATCTTAGAAGAATCACATGCCATCTCTATTTGAAATACTCAGGGTGCATACCCACTCATCAACAGGTTTTTTATATCAGAAAGATGAAGGAGAAATGGGCACAAGGAATTATCACCTTTGGTCACCAACCCATCCTAGCAAGAAAAGCTCATCCGCTAATGATAATTGGGTTGCTTTGCTCTTGTTCTCTGACCTTAAAGAGTTCCTCACTCAACTCTGTGCCTTTCTAAAACCTTAGATTGCCTTCTTGTGTTTTTCATCTCAAAGCTATTTAACAAAAAACATCTTATTAGTCTAACCTTAAGATATTTTCAAAGTTTTGTTTCAGATATGATGAAATTCAAAACCTGTGAACACATCTCCCAACATTAAGATTAAAAGAATTTAAGCTAGCTGAGCTACTGGGACTCAGTTGTTTTTCTTATCAATGACCTAAGCCGCAGTCTGTAGGGCTCTTCAATAGAAATTCATGTGTTCTGGCTCTGTGACATTTTCTTGTTTTATTTTTTATCCTCTGCAGTCTCTGCTTTATCAGATGCAGGGACAACATTTTATCCTACCTTTACATATATTAATTTTTACAATAACCTAACCTCTGTCATAATCCCTTACTGTATTTATTAAAAACCCTCAGCCATCAAAATATTATTTAAATTAACACTATTATTATATAAAATCATTGCTTCAGTTAAACAGTACAGCACAGGAGGAAATCATCTTCATAATAATCCGCAGGTAAACACACCGAGTGGGATATTTCCAAGAGATGATCATATTGCCTTAAGGGCAGTGGGGATCTCCCCACACCCATTCACACCATGGTGCCAAATACCAGAGGAAGAAGGCAAGGCAAACATGTGAAAACATAGCAGAACAAAAGACACTCTGGGGTCCATGGTCTTGGGCCTTGCCGATCTGATATTTACTTATCAGGGCTTTGTTTCCTGGTGGGCCAATGCCTTGAAGTCCATTGCCATTTGCTGCTCCTCTAACATGGCTCCTAGCTTGCTTTGCTCTGTGGGCTAAACTCTGTGCTGCAGATTACTTTCCCTGGCTTAGTTTGCTTAGGAAGATGTAGGGTGCCATCTGATTTTTTACCGCCTTCTGTCAGGTCCAAAGGACACTCCAATTGCCCAGACTCCAGAAGGCAGTCCAAATATTCAGAAATAAGGAGGACTTCTGGTGGCTATGTAAAAAAAATTAATCAGCACTCCTCAGGAACTTGTGAAACCAGTTCCCATCTGACAAAAGGAGTCATTTCCCTTAAGTCTGTCAGAAGGAGACATATGGCTTTCCACTGACACACACACACACACACACACACACACACACACACGTATATATGAATATATATCTGTGGCTGCATATTAAAGACCATTCCAGCATCCAGACTTCCTCAGAATCCCAAGTACCTATTATCCATCTTATAGTCTCCACCCTAGCATAATGGCTTCTCACCTCCCAAGGCTTCCTTCGGCCCAGATACCCATTTGTTTTCTTTATAAAGGCAAGGATTTCCTCCTACCATTGCTATTCTTACTATGCTCCTTGCCCCCCCCCCGCTTCCTCCCCTCCCCCGCCCAGTTCTCCAACTTCTGCTATTCTCTTCTCTCTCACAGATAGCCCTTGCTATATCCAAAGTCCAGTATTCTTGCCATGCTCAGTCTACACTTTTTTCTTTTGTTCTGGACTCCTCCAGATGCCTTTAGCTGTTCTCTTTCTCATATCTACAGTAAAACCTTTCCTTTAGTCATATTGTGGAGCGGTTATGTCAGCACTTTCTTTACTGTACCCACAACATATCTTTGGTTATTATCTTCGTCTAATAGCAGTCCCTTCTGCCTTCTACTGCAAACCCTGGCATTTCACTCCTCTATGATAATGCAATGCATAGTTTATGGTATTGGGAGCTGCCTTCAGGGGGGCATTTTATTTATTTTTATTTATATGAATGTTTGCTTGAATATGTGTGCATGTGCATCAAATTTGTGCAATGCCCATGGAGGACAGAAGAAAGCATCAGTCAGCACCCTCCCACTCCTGGAACAACAGTTATAGATGGTTTTGAGCCAACATGTAGGTACTTGGCATTAAACCTGGGACCCCTGGAAGAGCAGCAAGTTTTCTTTACTGCTAAGCTATCTCTCCAGCCCCAGCCTGATTTTTGTTTTTAAAATTGGGTGTCAGGGATAGAGAGATAACTTAGAAATCTCTTCTTGTAGGGGACTGCAGAATTCAGATGGCTGCACCTCCTCAGATGGGTTGTCTATAACTCCAGCTCTAAGGGGGACTGACACTCTCTTAGGGATGCGTGGGCATCAGAACATACAACTTTTCATACACAGACACATAAATACACACATAAATTCAAGAAGATTTTTTTCTATTCCATTTAAAAATAGTATACAATGACATTATCTTGAAAGCCACTGAGATAAAGTGTGATAATGAGGATGAAAGACAACACTGCTGGTACTGTTTTCTTGGTGTCTTATATGAACCCTATCAGTGGATCTGTCAAAGAGAAGCAAAAAGAGGCAGGCTGTGAATTTTAAATGTATAAAGGAATTAGGGATTAGCATAATGTCTGACTCCAGGAGATTAAATTATTGTGCTTTTGTATAAATCACTCCTCTTGTAAACATTAAACCTGAAGCTATCAAAGTACAGCAGGATAGAAATCTTAATATGTCATGGAATAAAAATAATAGATCATAATACAACTTTTAAATGCATGGTCTTTCTTTTAAAGCACATACACTGTTGCACATAAGACCCTTCACAGGTCCATTATACACATACCCTAGAATGTCAGCTTGAAGGGCAGGCCTCACATCTGGAGCAGTGAACACTCTACGACAGCTGCTAGAAATGGCTGCTCATGAATATACATTTGGCATTGATTACATAATGCTTCTCCAGATAATAGCTTTCTTGTTTATAAAGCTTGCTACATATGACACATGTTGCTTTTGTAGTAAAATATGCTAAAGCCAATTCATGTGATGATGATATTAATTATGGCTTTAATTATAATCACAACTTGTAAAATACAGTCTAAGTATCCAATATAGCACAAAACAAAGGCAGCCATTAAGATCACAATTTTCAAAGAACTTTTCAACACTCAAGGAAGTGATAAATATGGTTGGCAAAGTTCCTGCACACTCAAAATAGTGAGTGTATGTAAGATATATCTGTTTTTCTTTAGGCTGAGATTATAGTTTTTACTCTTTACATAGCTCCTTGAAGGGAATGGCTATAACTTGTTTAAATACTCTAAAAGAAAACTTAATAGGGAGCCAGCTTGGAGATATACTGTTAGCAGGATATATTCTAAGACTGTGGTAGGATAGGAGAGTTCAGAATGATTAACACTATTCTTCAAAAGCAATATCAGATTCTTTTAGTTTATTCTTTCAAAATGAAACTTAATAGGTTAATCATTTATTGTTTCACTTTTATATTTTAAATATTAGAAAAAAAACAATTAAATTGATGGAGTATACAACCTTGGAAGAGAATTTCTTCAACATGTCTGTACATTTTCTATTATAGATGTACTTACAAAAAAATAGAAGTAATTTAAAGCCTCCAATATTAAACTATAACAAACAGAGCAAATGTGTACAGTTTGACAAAGTTACTGTCTTAATAGCTTTCTCCTTGCCCAGATACACCACTAATATTTTTGGTAAAGGGAAAACATACCATAAAACAGTACTCATTTTCAAAATAAGGTCTTCACATATACATTTGCAAGTAACATACAAGGATAGAGGTCACATTAATTATTTCTGAAGACTGCAGACAATTCCTAGATTTTCTTTTACTCTAATAGTCAGTCAATATATAAAACAGGTTTGCTTTTGTAGGCCATTAGACAGATCTTAAAATTTAAGCACCACAATGAAAAAAATTAACAGACTCATGATGTTTAAATATACCATCATGAGATACAATTTCCATTTTCACAAACTGGGACACATTACTACCAATTTCCCACTCTCATAAAGAATCCAACTTGGTACCCTCTGTTGAAAGTTCTAGCATCCCTCTTTCCAATCTCCAGTTGAGCTGAGGTTCTCATTTCATTTATAGTTATTGCTAGATGTTTATATTCCCTAATTCTCTGACCACCAATTCCTCCAATTCACTAATAGAGGTATTTATTCCCTGTTCTCTTTTTTCTTCTGTGGCTCATATCCAAAACTTTCTGCATCCACACTTTTCTACTTCAAGAAATATGTCTCTACAGCCATAGCCCTTCTCAACAGCCTCATCATGTTTGTTCTTTTGCTACAAAATCATTTCCATAAGAACAAATGATAAGCTTTTTAAAACAAAAAACCCAAACACCACTAAAATAGGGTAAACAAACTCAGTAACATTGCAAGATGCAAAGCCCACATATAAAACCCTGTAACCATTTTATACAGCAACAGTATTGCTCAAAAAACAAAACAGACACCAGCCATACAAATGAAAAAGAAAGTAATGTCAATGATAGTATCTCCAGGAAATAAAATGTCATGAAATAAGTATAAACAAAGAAATGAAAGAGCTCTTCAATGAAAATTATAATATACTAGCAAAAAACAGTGAAGGTTCCATACGCAAATGGGAAGACCACTCCATGTTCATGAATTGAAACCATCATTATCAGAGAAGGTCCATATTACACAAAATGATATGTATATTTAATACATTCCCATCAAAATTCCAAAGTCTCATTATAGATATAGAAAAGAATGTCACCGAAATCCATTCTGAACCACAGACTATCTCAAACACCCCAAGCAACACTGAACAGTACAATAACTGAGGTCAAAATATGTTATAACACCATAAGCTACATAACAGACATAGACACCTCAACCTGTTAGTAAAGAAAGATAGCATACACTTTGCTCCAGCAACCCTACTACTAAAGGAGCTGAAGTTGTAGCAGTTATGCTGATAACACATCTGTACCCACATGTCCATTGCACCTATTCTATAGGTGCATGACATCTATAGTATATTTCTTTATCTCTAAACTGGAAGAAACAAGTAAGGCACATTCCAAGTTACATAACTGAAATTTTTGGCAGAGGATAACCAAAAAAAAAAAAAAAAAAAAAAAAAAAAAAGTGACTTACCCAGCCATTTCATGTAAATTAGTCCGAGTAATTCTACTAGAGTCATTATGGCCAAACCTGAAATTAGAAGGGGGCCATATTTTGGTGCACACTCTGTAAAAACAAAGAAGTATATATTATAAATGCACACAAACTAATTAAAGAAATAAATAATATCAAGTTTTAAGAAGAGTAATTATTTTTCAAGATAAAAACTAATTATATATGCTGATTATCATTAATTCACTTCAATAAAATTATTCCAAATTTTTTAAAGATAAAACATTCATGTTTTTATAACATACATGTCGGGACTAATGAAAAATTTTGTCCTGAAACAATTTGAGTCTGGTTACTCTTAACATTGTGTGTAACTAGCCGTGATAATTTGGATAGCTGTAAAATAGCCATGAGGTATATTGTAGACAATATTCTCAAACTGGCATTGAAAGCCTAATTCCCACTGGAGGAAATATGGTAAGTAAAAGATAGAAAATCTTCAACCAGCAAAGTGCTAAGCATGTGAAGAAATGTCATTCATTGCTGTTGCTGATACAAAATGCTAATGCAAAATTGTTTACAAACAATTACAAAACTAAGTATGTCCTTAGTGTAAATCCAGTATTTACTCAAATAGAATTGATAATGTACATTCATAGAAAATTATATATGTTTACAGAAATTCTATTCATAGTTACAACAAATCTGAAAGCAACCAGGGCATCCTTCATCAGATGAACACAGTAAAAACTACTGTTGAGTGTCCTCACAAATATTCTGCCCTCAAAAATAGTGAACTATGAAACCATGAAAAGACATTGGGGAAAAAAAGCCTACATAAAAAAGGCTACACACCATGTGTTTCTAAATAAAAGACAATCTCAAAGATGAAAAACTGTTAAGTGTTGCCGGGGATTCATGGAGGACAGGTAGGGTCAAGGGAGTTTTACCAGTGAAGGTAGTCTATATGACAAACACAGTGAGTAGTTCATCTCATGTGTTTTCTTCAGATGAAGAGGGAACCATAATGTAACCTATGGGTGATGGTTTTTAAACAGTGATTTATCAATTAGAACAAATGTGCCATCCGGTTGAGGATGGTAGAGCAGATGAGGCCATGAAAAGCATATGAAAGAACATGAAGAGTGTATGATGCAACTCACAGAAACTCTGTAACATTCATTGAACTTTGTTGTGAACTGAAACATCTTTAAAGAGACAGTTTATGAATAAAGAAAAAGAAAATTAAGATCTCTGTTCAAGAGAAATCTAAATCAAGACACCAGGAAAAGGTGACTCTTACCAGTTACAGTAACATACAGTCCTGCCATAATGAGTACAAAGCCCAGTGCCTGAACGACTGTAAATATAATCATGGCATGCAGGGTCCTCCCAATAGCTACGAGAAAGAAAGGGACAAAACAGAAGCGTGATGGGAATGTTGAGGAAGCAGTAACATCTACTTTGCGTTTGGCACAGTCAGCAACAAGGCACTATGACCAAAGACTGGCTGCAGTAGGTTTTCAAATGGAAGACGTTTTCCCAGTGAGCTTCCCCTTTTCCAGTATATCATGGTTTCAGATTACCCATGCAGCAGAGTTTTACTGTCATTTTCTTTTGAACAGGGTGGAAAGTTAACTCCAAACACAACGACAGTGCTGCTTTGACCGTATTTGTGTATCTTACATCACGAACAACTGCTATGCATGGCTTCTTTACATGCAAACAAAATTGTCTTGGTGGAGCCTTTGTGATTACACATGTGACACCCTCTATTGTGCTTTTCAAGGATCTATACGTTTTAAAATAGAAACTTTCTAGTGTCTAGAAATCCAAGAGAGACCTTAAGACGCACCAAAGTGATGTTGTAAACAGGTATTTACTTATTTTGTGTTGGGGGAAGCAGGTATGAATGTGGAGATCAGAGGACAATTTGAGGGAATCTTTCCTCTCTTTCCACTATGTAAGTTCTGGGAATTGAACTCAGGTGTCATACTTGGTGACAAGCACCTTTACCAGCTGAGCCATCTCATTGGCCCAGATGTGACTTTTTTTTTTTTTTTTTTATACAGAGTTTCTCTGTAGTTTTGGAGCCTATTCTGGAACTCGATCTGCAGATCAGGCTGGCTTTGAACTCCACCTGTCTCTGCCTTTGAGTGCTGTGATTAAAGGTGTATATGCCAGCACAGCCCAGCCTGACTTTTTTTTTTCTTATTTTACATATCGCTTCCAGTTCTGTCTCCCTCCCTCTCTCCTTCCTATGCTCCCTGATCACCCTCCTACCCCATCCCCTCCCAACTACACAGGGAGGGTGATGCCTTCAAAATCTGTCCAACATGACTTTTTAGCAACAACAAAATGTTAGCTATTTACTTTTAAACTGTTAAAAAAAAATACTGATTATTTTTCTTATATACATACTACCATCTTAAGATATGCTAAGTTTTCCTAATAACAATAATAATAACCCAAAAAACCCTCAAAACCAACACACACACACACACACACACACACACACACACACACACACACACACACACACCGGCGTTTAGTGTTATTGATTCCTAACCTCATCTTATGGAAATAGTCTTCTTAATGAAGAGCATGGTGGGAAAATGGTGTACTTATAATCTGCTTGTAATTCTGTTATACTGAAATTCAAAATGTAAAAGTAATCTCAAGGTATTTCAGTCCACATATTCCTAACATGAAATCCTGAAATCTGATAGTAAAAATTTTCCCATTTTGGAGCATATTGAATGTTGGATTTCCCAGGTAAGTCTATTCAAACAGTACATTTTAGGCAAGTATCTCAAACTCTGAAAAACAGAAATTCAAATACCTCTGGCCTCAAGTGTATTAGATGAGAGGTACTTAAGCTGCATATATAAAACTCACTTTTTACAAAATAAAAATGACTTCAAGATTAAGAAGACTTTAAAATTCACCCTTATGGGAAAATGTCATTAAGAATAGCATAGGAAATATTTTAAATAAGCCAAATTTTATGAAAATCAGTATTAAAATTAATGGAGAACATTCTGCTGGCTAGTTTTCATTGTGACAGAAGTTACTATATAGGTTTCTGGGTTACAAATGTCATCAATGGTTTTACCAGTTTAGACCCTAGACTTACCTGGCCATATGTACCTATTGCTACAATGGTGACACAGCTGTTATGGGGTCGCCACTTTCTGATAGGATTTGAGACTTTTCCAACAGGAGGACATTTCATGCCTGCTATTAAAGTCCTGGTCAAAAATTGCTATTGAGTTCATAGGATAAAACCTGTTATTGCTATTTTACTAAGTGGTCATATTGCCAAATTGCCTTCTAAAGGTTTATTTTTAATTTTTTTATTTAAATAAAAAAATCTTATTTTACATACTAATCCCAGTTCCCTCTCCCTCCCATCCTCTCACTCCCCCACCATCCACCGATTCCATCCCCCATCTACTCCTCAGACAGGGTGAGGCCTTTCATGGAGGATCATCAAGTCTGTCACATCATTTGGGGCAGGACCAAGGCCCTCCTCCCTGTATTTAGGCTGAGAGAGTATCCCTCCATAGGGAATGGGCTCCAAAAACCGGTTCATTAACTAGGGATAAATACTGCTTCCATTGCCATCGGCCCCATAGACTGCCCAAGCCCCCTAACTGACACCCTCATTCAGGGTGGCTGGTTCAGTCCTATGCTGGTTCCCCAGCTGTCAGTCTTGGGTCTGTGAGCACCCACTTGCTCAGGTCCACTGTTTCTGTGAATTTCCCCAGCCTGGTCTTTACCCCTTTGCTCATCATTCCTCCCTCTCCACAACTGGATTCCAGGAGTAAAGATTTACTTTTTTACCTAGTAGATCTGTGTTGCTCTCCATCTTTGTTGGGAACTTTCTTTCTTGCTCAAGAAAGAGGTGAGAATAAGAAACTAAGTACTCAGGCCTTAGTAATTGGTAAAGATGTCTTTATCACCTACTAGGGTCATAGAACATTTTGGAAGAGTCAGAAACAGTGTTGGAACCTGGTGATAGGAAGAATTGTCATGAATTGCTATCTACCGGACATGGACATGATATTGCTATTGCTGTCATGAACTCACAGCTACTCTGGTTACCTGTGCAAGGCCAGCAGTCAAAATTCTGGCATAGATGGTAGTGTTCTCTAGGCTCTATCCCTTACTAAGGAGATCTTGGTGATTAATTCCTGCTGGGGGAAGGGAGAATCATTCTATTTGAGGATATGGCCCACGTTGGGTTTCCCACACTCTGGTGGATGGCTTCACATTCATGAACACATGGTTAGCACTAACTGACTTAGTGTTCTAGCATACTGAAAAATAAAAGACACAGGGTTGAGATGGGGACCTGCTGGTGGTATATTGGAGCAGTGAGAAGAGGAATGGGGGTGGGGGTGGCTATAATCACACTCCATTGCATGTGCCAGTGAAATTCTCAAGAATAAAGAAGTTAATTTTTAAATATAAAATAGAATATATTCCCCAAAGTGCTGTCTTTCAAAGGAAAACGTAGTTAAAACCATGTTTAAATATCAGGAGTGATGAGCAAATGGGGTCAAGACCAGGCTGGACAAAACCACAGAATCAGCTGGCCTGAACAAGGGGAGCTCATGCACCCCAGTCTGACAGCTAGGAAAGCAGCATAGGACTGACCCAGACCTGAATGGGGGTGTTAGTTAGGACTGGGCAGTCTATGGGGCCTCTGGTAGTGGATCAGTATTTATCCCTAGTATATGAATGGACTTTGGAAGCCCATCCCACATAGAGGGATACTCTCTCATCCTGGACACATGGGGGAGGGCCTAGACTATGAAGACTCCCCATGGAAGGCCTCACCCTCCCTTGGGGGCAGAAAAGGGATGGGATGGGATTAGGTGGGGGTGATAGGAAAGGATGGGAGGGTAGGGAACTGGGATTGACATGTAAAACAAACTTGTTTCAAATTTAAACAAAAAAGGGGGGTGGGAAGATACCAACACATGCCATCCAGTGCCTCGAGTATTTTTCTGCACTCTCAGAAGCCTCCATCCAAAACCAAACCAAACCAAACCAAACCAAACCAAACCAAACCAAACCAAACAAACAAACAAAAAAATCAAATGCTTACCTGGCTTAAACTTATAGTATTGGAGAAATACAGGCATCACTGTAGGACTAACAAAGAAAATAAGCCCATAGCTTTTCGTTTTTGAATAATTACCTGTTAATAAAGAAAAATTTGTTTTTCTGTGTGTTTCTGCTGTTTGGGAAGTTCATGTACTGAATTTATTAAGCACATTACCCCGAATACTGCACTCAAGTAGTATGAGATGATTAACATATTTTCTTCCAAATTCACAGGAAGTCAACATTTTTCAATTACTTCAGACCCAACTGAATGTTATAAATTTTAATGTCAGAGTCTCCTCATATGAAAACCTTTATTTGGCTTTAACCCTTTAGCTGCCTTACACAGTTACAAAAGATAAGCGTGCCCTCACCATCCACCATCCATTCATTATCAGTATTCATCCTGTCCCCCAAGCCAAATCAAGTGCTCTTTCCTATTGTCCCCTCATTTCATCACCTCCGCAAACCCTCACCAGCCCTGAATGCAAACACAGCTGCCAAATCTGTGTTCTAAACATCTGCCTGTTCTGCAGACTCCCTAAGAGACAGCAATGGAGTTCTGCAGTCTTCCAGGGAGGGAGCCTTTACTCCCCTGCATCTGCTTCCTGCTACCCGCATTATTCCCCATTTATACTTCCATTTCTCAGCTGCAATGACCACTCAGGATAGACATGACTCCCATGTTCATGCCCGCTTCCCCGTCTCAGCCAGTGAAGTCTTGCCTCCATAGTGGCTTGAATAGTGGCCCTATTTACATTCTTACCTCCCCAAAACTATGACAAAAGATATAATTAAGTAAAGGGTGTAGAGGGGGGAATCTTAGACTGAATTAAACAATCGTCTGTCTGCAAATTCAATGGCACTGCCCTTGTGAGTCAGGAAGAGAACACAAACAGAACACAGAGAACCGCATGATTCAGATGATGGAAGAGTAGAAATGGGAGCTACTCCACCACATGCCAAGGAAGCCGACCATTGCCTGTAAGCATTGCAAGTTATAAGAAGCAGGAAGTGGATCAGCCCCATCCCCACCAGAGCTTCGTGAAGGAGCATGATACTGGGCACGCAGCAATTTCAGGCATCAGGGGTCCAGGTCCTTGAAAAATGTTCTGTTCTTTGAGGCCACATCATTTGCCGTGATCTGTCCCAACAGCTCTCGACATCAGTACGCTACCTTTTGGGATGTTCGTCACATCAGTCGCACACTACAGCCCAGTACCTGTGCATCTTACCAGGGATAAAAAGAATGGCTCCGATAATGATGATCATGGTGATCAATATTCCAGATGTTGATAAAACAATAGTTTTCTTGTTCATAGGGTTGGATTTATATTTTCGTACTAAAAAAAAAAAAAAAAAAAAAAAAAAAAAAGACAGACGAACTTAATCAGAAATGAAGGCATTTCTACAACATATAAGATGCAAAGGCAAACTGACAATATAGTGAAACTGGGTAGGTAACCCTTGAATAAAACTCCTATCAAATTACTCACACTTTTCATAAGTTCTTGATAGATAGGGTCATGGTGACACATATGTATAGCAATGTGAATATGAAGGTAAAATTTAGTTCTCATCTGTCTTACAGAGGAAGTTGCAACAGCCTTCTTTCTTCACTGGGACATTTTTTAAGTTTCCATAGTAATCTTTTTCTGTGGAGGTGACTCTATGCATGGTTACATTAGAACTTTGAGTTCTACCCCCATGGCTATTACTTACATGGCATTGTAAGTATCTTTCCATAGTGTTCACCAAAAGGAAAGTCATTCCTGATGACTGCAGAGTAGGGATTTACACAAAACTCATGGGCAGTAACTACTTACTTAGCAATATAAAAAACAGAGAAAAAAGCCCTATCCAATATAAAATTCATAAAGCACCTAGAAATTTAGGCGCTTTGTTTTGAAAAAGAATACTAAGTAATGAGCAAATCACATCCTGGTGAAATTCTGATAGAGGAAAATGCCCTGAACTTACAACTAAGATGTTGAAATAAAAGCACACTGCCGGAGTTTGAGAAGAGTCATCATAGAAATTACTGCTCCTAACACAGGATCTCATCCTCATGTTCCTCTACCCTCCCTGAGACCACAGACTTAACAACACCTTCTTTTACTCTTTATTAGACTTTTTATTTGATAAATGTGAATTCAATTACACACACACACACACACACACACAGCCTTGCCTGACTTAATATGCACCAAATGCACGCAGGAGCCCAGAAAGGCCAGAAGGGGCATTTAATTTCCTGGAACTGGAGTTACAGATGATTGTGAGTCAGCAGGTGGGTTCTGGAAACAGATATGTAAGCGTTCTTCACTGTTGAGCCTTTTTTACATCCTTCTTCATAAATGTCAGTATTTCTGTATGTTCTCTAATGTCTTTCAGCTTTCCCCTCAGTGTAAGCCTCCCTTGAATTGTCAAGCTTCTCTTCATAATTATGGATCAAATGTGGGTCCCCATTTGTGAGGACCTAGGGTAGTAATGACTACCTACCTTTTATGTCCATTTCCAGGACTTGAACTCTGTCTCTCTCTTTCTCTCACATTCACACACTCACACGTACATATAAGAAAAAAGTTAAACACAGATGTGTAGAGGAAATAACTGATTGTAACTGACAGTATGGAACAAAGGTGCTGTGGAAGACAGAGAATTCCCTTTCCCATGCTCTCAGACAGTCTGCAAGTAAAAGGAAAAAACGAAAATTTCCAAAAGACAGCAAAAATGATATCCTGAGCTATAGACTCACAAACTGCATGAATCAGTACCCAGCACCGACACCCTGAAGCAGTTACCCAGCACCGACAACCAGTCTCTGTATGCCACCCTGTGTCACTGCCAATTAAACTAGGAAAGGAAGAGAGCAATAAAGGAAAGGAAAGGAAGAATAAAAAATTGCATAGCCACAGTTCCAAAGTCCAGAGCACTCTCTCAGCCCACTAAGAGTGCCATCCCTATGGAGCCACAGAGTCATGGAAACAGTGGTGCTGGCCTGAACTGAAGCTTAGTAGAGTAATGTAGAGCAAGTGTTCTTAAACCCAAACCACTGACATGGGTCAGGACTCCCAAGTCCTGGTGATGAGATGAGCATTTATATCTGCACAAGAAAATACACACTTGGGCCTAATCACATTAGAAGCTTAAACACTGAGGCACTGACGTGGACAGCAGAGAAAGTTGGGAGTGCATAGAACAAGCTGAAGACCAGAGATAGCTGAATGACAAGTTTGAGGTGACACCTTATGCTGAGCGATGGGAAACTCTTAGGAGCATTTACCTCTATTGAGTCTAGAATACTGAGTCAAGCTAAGAGGCAACTTGTCCAAGCACCGCTGAGACACTGAACACCACCCATCTGGTCAAACAGGTTTGAATCAGAAACAAAGGTGGCCAGCTGTCACACCACCAGAGTTAAATCTAGGACAACTCATGGAGGGGAATAAATATTACTAAAGTTATAGTTCTACCAATGAATAGATATTAACTAATGTTATATTTTTGTGTTTATTTCATGTAAGTATCCTTTTAAATCTTCATGCTTACATGCTGTCTTAGTTTGCTTCCTAGTGCTAGAATAAACCCCATGACCACAAGCAACTTGGAAAAGAAAGTGTTTGTTTCAGTTATAGCTTATAGTTCATCATTAAGGCAGGTTAGAGCAGGACTCAAGCAGAGGCCTTAATAGAATGCTGCGTACTGGCTTTGCTCCTCATGATTTGACCAGCCTGGTTTCTTGAACAACCCAGGATAAGCTGTCCAGGGTGGTACCCTTACCCTCAGCAGGCTGTGCCCACCCACATCAGTCACTAACCAAGGACATGTTCCATAGAATTGTTTGCCTTCCAATCTGAAAGAGGAACTTTCTCAACTAAGATTTTTCTCTTCCCACATGAAGCTGGACTACATAGAGTTGACAAAAATTATCCAACACACACACACACACACACATGCATTTTGCTTTAGTTTTTAAAAAATGTTGCTTAGGCTTTATGATGATTCTGTTTTTGCACCTGTTCTATTATGTTCTCTCTACTACATCTATTATTATTATTATTATTATTATTATTATTATTATTATTATTATTTAAATCCCATATTCTTTGTATCTTCTGTCTCATTCTCCCTTTTTATTTCTTTTCTATACCCTCTTCACATACTTCTTGATTATGACTTTCCATTAGATTTAATAATCTTCACACTCATCTCTCCTCATAATATCCCAACTTCTCTGTGCTGCGTACTTTTTTTTGTCAGTTTGACCCAAACTAGGGTCATCTAGGAAGAAGGATCTTAAATTGAGAAAATGCTTCCATCACATTGGCTTGTGGGAAAAGTCTATGGGTACAATTTTTTAAAATTAATGGTTAATGTGGGAGGACTCAGCACCCTGTAGGGAGTGATTCTAGCCTGTATAAGAAAGCAGTCTGAACAAGCCATGGGGAGCAAGTCAGTAAGATAGTCAAGGCTGCCTTCAGGTTCATGTCTTGAGTTCCTGCCCTGACTTTCTTTCCTGATGGACTGAAACTGTAATGTGAAATAAACCCTTTCCTCTTCAAGTTCCTTTTGGTGAGAGTGTATTATCATAGCAATAGGAAGCAAACCAGGACATCCCCTCCTCCTACTAACTTTTTAATAATATTCTAGCATACCCCCTTAAATCCTGTTACTGTATTGGAGTTGAAGGAACGATTGTTTTAAATTCATTATTACCATATTTTATTGGGGGATTTAATACAAATTATAGTTGATTCTGGAATTAATATTCTACTTCCAAAATGTTTCTTATGTCTGAGTTTATTATCCCAAGATTCTGGCTACTAAACTATGTCCTGGAACAAAACTCAACTGCAATAGAACCTTGCAAATACTTCAATACTGAAGAGCTATATGTTATTCTATTTTTTAAATTCAGTCAGTGACCTAATCTAAGATATGTAAGCCCCAATGCAAAAACACAAGTAACAAGAAAAAAAACAACGAAAACATGTTTATCTATAATAACATTTGACAAGTAGACTTTAAGCCAAAATTAGTCAAACAGAATAAAGAAGGCTACCTCATATTGATTGAGGGAACAACAG